TTTGTATTTTGTGAATATAATTTAGCATGCGCGTATCAGAAATTTTCTCGAAGAAATCCTCCTATTTAACTTTTTGAAACCACTCATTTTGAACGAAAATAATTTCACACACATTTGCAAATTTAAAACGTAAATATCTATTCTCTGGTGGTTGCAGCAGACAAACCTCAATTTTCTCATTGAACATTTTGTGTGCTACTATGTAAGTTTAATAACAACCTTTTTAAAGTTTTATATCTTAACAATTAGATATCTGTTGCACATTAATTGTTTAATACATAGGTGCACATTAAAGTTATTGTAGCCCGAATTTTTATTATTTATTTAATATTTTTAAAAATATTATTAATAACAATTAAATAATTTTAAAAATCTACTTCTTATTTTAATTTGTAATTTAATACTTTTGCTTTGTACAACTTGGTAAAAATCTGACAGTAATATTTTATGTTCCTTCAAACATAAAAGAGTTCTATATAAAATTTTGATAAAGTTGCGGCCCGCCATTTGATTTGTGTTTTGAATTGTGGCCCCCGGCCTCATGTAAGTTGGAAACCCCAGAATATATCATTAGTCATTCAGTGTGTTTCGTTTATTTATTTATTTACCTATTTATTTAGTGTGCACTGTACATCCGCTGAGTATGTATTACATTGAATATAAACATTCTGATGAATGTTCTTTTCATTATTACATTAAATTGCTACATTGAATGTTACATTAAATTCTTTTGTTATTTCTCAAAAATTACTCTAAGGAAATCTCCCCCCTACCCACGATTTCTCCACCCCCTAGTACGATATACGTTCTTTTTCAGAATTAACATAAATTTAATTCAACAATAACAAAGAAAGTTATGCGAATTTAAGTAAACCTAACAATATATTCCACCTTAATTTAATTCAGAATAATTCATATAAAATGTATTCATTTTCGTTTGAATTTTTACTTCCTCACTCAGTCATAAAACTCAAAAGCAAATAAAAAATTGAATTAAAAAAAAACGATATTCTTAGCCAGAAATTCATTTTAATTAAATTAGGTTAACAACCGAGCCTGCGAGCCTTTTTTTAGAACATTAAATAACGAAAATAAATTCTTAAATCGACGTATTTCAAGTGGAAGATATGAAAGAATAACAAGCTTAATTCTGCCTTAAGTAATGTAAGCTCATATAATTAGTATAAATTAATTGCAGGAAAAAATTGCTTCCACCTATTTAACATTTCAAAGAAAGTTTAATTCGTTAAAATATTTTTAAGCACAAGGATTTCGTTGCAGATAAAGGTAAATAATAATTATTTTTCGTTAATGTGGTTTCGTTATCTATTTTAATGAGTTCTTTTCCTTGATCTTTAAGTTTGGATTTAATTGGATTAGATTTATTATATGATACGGTACTAGCGTTAAAAATTGGCTTGAACAAGAAAATCTTTCTTGTTTGCTTTATTTTACTAAGCGGTATTAAAAATTTAAAAGTCGTATTTAGCACTTATGTTTTTTATATCGAAGGTGTTTTTCAATCACTGCACTTATTATATATTTTATGATTTAAAAAAATAATTAATATGTCAAAAAAAAAAGCTTAACAATTGAACAGCCTGAAAAACTTTTTATCTAATAGTTGGATTTTCACGTACGAAGACTAATCTTGATGGTTCAAGAACTTATTCGTAAATATGCTAATAATATAGTGAATACAATCTTAAAAAGGAGAAGAAAAAATCAATTTTTAAGTAAATGATTTTTTAGAATTTCATAACTCAAAAATTTTGTATTTCATCTTTAAAAATTGTATGCTTTAAATTTTTTGACATTTATAAAAGTGAGCTGGATTGGGTTAAGTCCCCGTAGAATTTTTTTAAAATTAATTTCGTGATATTTATTTTAATTTCCTGATAATTATTTTAATTTCCTGATATCCGATACGATAGACAATATTTGTTACAATTTTATCATTTAAAAAATGCAAAAATTGGTACATTTTTTATTTTATACTTTTTTATGTAATAATTAAAAATCACTCAAAAAAGTGATTAAAGTTTAATTTTTCTATTTAAAATTTNAAAGTGAGCTGGATTGGGTTAAGTCCCCGTAGAATTTTTTTTTTCATTAATTTCGCGATATTTATTTTAATTTCCTGATATCCGATATGTTAGACAATATTTGTTACAATTTTATCATTTAAAAAATGCAAAAAATTGGTAAATTTTTTATTTTATACTTTTTTATGTAATAATTAAAAATCACTCAAAAAAGTGATTAAAGTTTAATTTTTCTATTTAAAATTTTATTTATTTATTATTATTTTTTTTTTGTGATTTTAAAGTTCACTTTCTTTTTTTGAGTTAAATAATTCGGAGTAAAAATCGTATTTCCTGCCATTATGGATCTCAGGAGAGTACAATCAAATCAACAAGCAAAATCAACAATCAAAAAAAAAAAAATTTGACATTTTCGTCAACCAAAATTATGAAATTTTATATGAGCACAAAAGAATATTATCGGTCTTGAATTAATGATCATACATCATAAAAATAAAAAAAAAAATACGAAAAATAAACAACTTTATATTTTTAACTGCAAGAAAAATAATTTCCATGTTATAACAGCTTTTATTTAATCAACAATAGTGCAGCGATATAATTTCGACATTGATTGAAAGTTTGCATCATTGTTATGTTACTAAACATAAACATCCGGCTTTTTGCACTTAAAATCAAGGCGGAGTTGGCGAAAAAGAAATGCCCTAAATAAACCAGTTTTCTTTTTCAGAAGCTTGCAGTTTCTACTTTAGTAACTTCAAGAAGAACAAGGCTCGGTGGTCTAGGGGTATGATTCTCGCTTTGGGTGCGAGAGGTCCCGGGTTCAAATCCCGGCCGGGCCCAATTTGTCATTTTAGTAGAAATTATAAAACTTAGGCTAAATTCTCCATTTTTCTAAGATGATTTTTTGTAATCTAAAATAGATACTTCCGTTAAAGTTTTTATGCGTTTTTGGGTACGCAATTCAAATTTTTAATACAGAAAAATATAATAGCTTAATAAACATTTACTCTTTTCAAATATAAACATTATTTTCTGTGTGGCATTTATTAAATATACGAGCACATTCTGTAAGATCTCAGAGCAATTTTACACATTTTTAATTTTTTCTTGTTTTCTTTTTACGCAATTCAAATTTGGTAATACAGAAAAATATAATAGCTTAATAAATATTTACTCTTTTCAAATATAAACATAATTTTTTTCTTTTTTTTTTTAAGCATTCATTAAATAAACAACCACATTCCGTACAATCTTAGAGTAACTTTACACACTTTTAATTTTTTCTTGTTTTCCTTTTACGCAGTTCAAATTTGGTAATATAGAAAAATATAATAGCTTAATAAATATTTACTATTTTCAAATATATATATATTGCATTCATTAAATAAACAAGCACATTCTGTACGATCTTAGAGCAATTTTACACACTTTTAATTTTTTCTTGTTTTCTTTTTATCTAGGGAAAGCGGTTTCTTGTTTTGAAAGTATTATTTTCTTTGAACATCTTTTTTGTTTAGTTATTTTATTAATTTATTTATTTAATATTATTATTTTGTATTTTTCTTGACTATTATTCCTCTTACGTTTTAAGATAATGCCTATCGGGTAACGTTTTTCTCATATAAGCTTCTTAGATTTTTTTTAACCATTCATATTGTATGAAAATCCCCGTCTATCCTTGCCCGGCGTTACTTAGAAGCGCTCATATGTATTATGGCATAGCAATGCAAAGTATACATGCAACAACGTATTGAGTTAACAGAATTGTATTTCTGTCGTGGTAACAGGTATTTTTTTATTAACAGGTATTATTGGTAACAGGTATTATTATTTTATTTTTCATATACCGAAAGCGATACTGTGTGAAATTACTGAATTTGTAAAAAAGGAATGTATTTTTGAAAGAAGTGTCCACTTGACTTAGTCCGGTTACTATGTCGTTGTGTCCACGATGTCACATTTCTATGTTTAAGTTGCATTGTAGTTAGTTATTTTTCAATTGTTTCCTGCGTCTAGATTCTACTATATGTCTAGATTGTATTGAATAAAAAAAATTTTAAAACTTCTCGTTTTATCATCCTCATTCACTCAGCATCCTCCACAGTGCAAGTTTTGCCCAAATAAATAAATAAAAATTTGATTTCAAGGGAACAATAGTTAGTCAATTTCAAATAAATTTTATGAAATTGCTTAAAACAATGTAATTTTCTTTTTATTAAAACGATTAAAAAAACGAAGGAAATTAAGAAAAAAATAAGAATAACAACAAGTGCTGCGCATAAGCTGTAAGTAAATGGAACTCATAAAATAAGTTCAAAATGTAGAGAAATCATGAAAAAAAATTACAAAACTATGAAAAAAGTGAAAAAGTAAAATAATAATAATAAAAATCCGGAAAATAAAAGATATACTCTTTTCATCTTGAACTTATATATATAAGTTCAATGATGAAAAGAGTATATCTTTTATTTTCCGGATTTTTA